CCCCAACCCAAAAAAAAAAAAAAAAAAGAGCAGCCCTCTGTCTACCCAGTCCTTAGAGACCATCCTCGCCTCCTTCCCTTTTCTACCTCTCATCCAGCAGCTAGATAACTCCCAGCCCTGCCCCTCCTTCCCTGATACCCCCTATCCCCTCCACTCATTCCTGCATCCCCACCCACCTCAGCCTCTTCCTCTGCCCCTGGCCCTGATGTCAGCCTTCCTGCCCCTTTGATCTCTGGATCCAGCCCAGCCCTACTCTGGCACTGTCCTTTCCAAACTGGTCCATCGGCCTGATCTCCAGTCTCACCTGCTCAATCTGTGCCCCACTCGGCCTCAGAGGTGTCTTCCTACACTTATCCTCACCCCTCTCCTGCTCTTAACTCTCCCATGGCTCTCTAGTACTTACCAGACGAAGCCCAAGTCCCTTTATTGTTGGAGGCCTTTTATGGTCTGGCCTGAACTGACCTGTTATCTAGTTCCAACTCTCATCACCTCCCTCAGTCTTGCCCTTTATGATCTGATCTCTCTGATTTGATGCACTACTTTGGAAACCACCTACATTGCTTCTGTTTGTTTTGTTTTGTTTTTGAGTCAGAGTCTCACTCTGTCACTCGGGCTGGAGTGCAGTGGCATACTCATGACTACTGCAGCAGCCACCTACTGGGCTCAGGTAATCCTTCTGCCTCAGCTTCTCGATTAACTGAAACTACAGGTGCATACTACCACACCCAGCTAATTTTTTTATTTATTGTCGAGACAAGGTCTAGACTAGTTGCCCAGGCTGGTCATGAACGCCTGGCAATCCTCTCACCTTCGCCTCCCAAAGTGCTGGGATGACAGGCATGAGCCCCCATGCCTGGCTATGTTGCTTCTTTAGCCTTAATGGAAGCCACACTGAACTTGGTAAACATCAAGTTCATTGGCCCAGGATGCTCCTTTCTATCACTCAGGACTGAGCTTTTGTTTGACCGTAAACAAGCCTTCCCTGACTCCCCAGGCTGAGTCTGATGTCTGCTCTGAGCTCCTGGCAGCGCCTGTGATTAGGCCATGACAGCATGTTGCATGAGTGCTTCTTCTCAGTCTTTCCCTGTAGACCTGGACCTCCCCGAGTGCTGGGATTTCTCACCTGGTCCCTGGTGTTTAGAACTGTGTCTGCTATACAGTGGCCTTGGAGTAAGTTGGGATAATGAGACCACACCCTGTTTTTCCCCCAGAGCGGGCGGTACCTGGGCGTCTGCTGAAGACCCGGGCTATGAGGGAGATGTACCGGAGCTATGTGGAGATGTTGGTCAGCACAGCCCTCGACCCAGACATGATCCAGGCCCTGGAGGACACACACGGTGAGCTCAGGCCTCGGGAGAGTGGGTGTACAGGAGGAGGGGCTGGCGGCCTGGACTCCTGGGACTGAGGGAGGAGGGAATTTGGGAATCCAGACCCCCTGGCCCTTCCCAGGCCCTCGTTCATCACGTGACTGGCTCTGATGCCCTCTCCTTGTCTTCCAGACGAGCTGTACCTCCCACCCATGCGCAAGATTGATGGCCTCCTGAATGAGCACAAGAAAAAAGTCCTGAAGCGGCTGTCACTGAGCCCAGCCCTGCAGGTGCTCAGGGGGTGGGCAGGGGGTGTCTGGGGTCCATCGTCAGGCTTGGAGAAGCTTGCGTATGTTGGCTGCTGTGGTGGAATACGACTCATTGGGAGGGGACTGCCCTCCTGGGCTCAGCTAGGAGAATAGTTGAGAGCGGGGCTGTTGGGGGGGTGTCTGGGTCCCATCATCCCTGAAGGCCCCCAGGCAGGGGCGCTGTGGAACAGAGGACAGCGCAGGGGTGATGGGGAAGGGTGGGCGTGTCGGGAAGGCAGAACAGAGCCTGTAACGGAATACAAGTCTGGAGCCAGACGTAGACCAGGGCTCACACTGAGAGAGCAGATCCCAGTGGCTTCTTTGTGGGTACAGTGCAGGCTCTTAGGACCCAGGCTTCAGTGATGAGTCCTCTGTATGATTTCTTTCTGGAGTGGCCTAGAATTCTGGGATGGGATATGAGGGTGACTCTGAGATAACAGCATGAATCTGGTGGGAAGAATTTCAGGATAAACTGTTAGGGTAACTCCGTGTTGTCCAACTTTGAGAATTCTGGGAGGATGTTAGTCTGAGAATTTGGGGGTGATTTTAGGCTTGCACTGAGGTGGCTGGTGGCCCATTAGTCTTTCTTTTGAGTTGGAATATCACTCTGTCGCCCAGGCTGGAGTGCAGTGGGACACTCATGGCCACCACAGTCTCGACCTGCTGGGCTCAGGTGATCCTTCTGTTTCAACCTTCCAAGTAGCTGGAACCACAGGTACACACCACTATGCCTAGGTAATTTTTTGATTTATTGTAGCGATGAGATCTTGCCAAATTTCCCAGGCTGTTTTCAAACCCTTGGGCTCAGGCAATCCTCTTGTCTCCACCTCCCAAAGTGCTGGGATTGCAGGTGTGAACCACCAACCCTGGCTGTGGGATATTAGTCTTAACTCAGAAAATATGCAGTAAAGTTGGGCACTGTGGCTCACCCCTGTAATCTCAGCACTTTGGGAGGCCGAGACGAGAGGCTTGCCTAAGCTCAGGGATTCAAGACCAGCCTGGGCAACTTGGCAAGACCTCATCTTTACAATAAGCCAAAAATTAGCCAGGCATGATGGTCCACATCTGTAGTTCCAACTACTTGGAAGGCTGAGGCAGAAGGATTGCCTGAGCCCAGTGGGTCAAGGCTGTGATAGCCGTAAACATGCCACTGTACCCCAGCCTAGGCGACAGCGAGACTGATTCAACAAAAAGAAAAGAAAGAAAATATGCAGAGATATGTTAATCTGGTTCTGAGAATTCTGAGCAACATGGTCATTTTGCTGAGAATTCCGTGTGGGATGTTGGGATGACTGGGAATTCTGGAATGGGTTATTAGAGTGACACTAAGAATTCTTTTTTTTTCTGGGAGTAGTTAGTAAAATGGCACTGAGAATTCTAAGAGAGTGTTCGCTGGCTCTGAAAATCTAAGATAGAGTATTAGATGGCTTAGAAAATTCTGGGCCAGATATGGTGGCTTACACCTGTAATCCCAGCTGGGAGATGGAGACAAGAGGATTGCCTGAATCCAGGGGTTTGAGACCAGCCTGAGTTGGAATCTCACTCTGTCGCCCAGGCTGGAGTGCAGTGGCACACACATGGCTACCACAGCCTCCACCTGCTGGGTAGAGGAGTACATAGTCTGAGAATCCTGGGCTGGGCCAGAAAGCACAACGATGGATCACCAGGCAATCCTTCAGCCTCAGCCTCCCAAGTAGCTGGGAGTACTGGTGCATACCACACCCATCAAATATTTTAATTTTTTGTAGAGATATGATCTCGCCAAGTTGCCCAGGCTGGTCTCAAACCCATCGGCTCAGGTAGTCCTTGTTTCCACCCCCAGAAGTGCTGGGATTACAGGTGTGAGCTACCACATCTGGCCCTGAGAATGGACTTTTACGCTGACTCTAAGGATAGGACATTAGGTTGGCACTAAGAATTCTGGGATGAGCATTTAGGTTCGAGCTGATTTATTTGGGGATAGAATTTTGACTGCTACTGAGAATACTGCGGTAGATGGCTTAGGCTGGTGCTCAGATCTCTGAGATGGACATTTAGGTTGGGGCTGAGAATTTGGGGATCGATGTTTTTTTTTGGTTTTTTTTTTGAGTTGGAGTCTCACTCTGTTGCCCGGACTGGAGTGCAGTGGCCGTTCCCGGCCACCGCAGCCTCGACCTGCTGGGCTCCGGCGATCCTTCCACCTCAGCCTTCCAAGTAGCTGGAACTACAGGCGCGCACTACCACGCCCGGCTAATTTTTTGATTTATTGTAGAGATGAGGTCTCACCAAGTTGCCCAGGCGGGTCTCGAACCCGCGGGCTCAGGCAGTCCTCTCACCTCAGCCTCCCAAAGTGCTGGGATTACAGGCTGAGCCACCGAGCCCGGCTTGGGATCGATGTTTTATTTGTGGCTGAGAATTCTGGGGTAGAATTTTGACTGGCACTGAGAATCCTGGGAAGTACATGGTCTGAGAATCCTGGACTGGGCCAGAAAGCACAATGATGGATCACCAGACAGGTCCAGGCTCCTGTGTCCTTTTGACAAGACCAAGACTCCAGAGTGTTTCTTTTGCTCTGCAGCCTGGGGGAAATCGAGGCACCTGATGACTGGGGGTTCTGAGAACTGGTTTGGGGCGTGTGGATCTAGGGAAGGTCCCACTGACCCATCGGCTTCCCGCAGGACGCCCTGCACACGTTCCCACAGCTGCAAGTGGAGCAGAGTGGGGAGGGCTCCCCAGAGGAGGGGGCCGTGCGGCTGCGGCCAGCCGGCGAACCCTACAACCGCAAGACGCTCAGCAAACTCAAGAGGAGTGTGGTCCGAGCTCAGGTGGGGGCCAGGTTGGGAGTGGGCAGTGCCGGGTGGTGTGGGGGAGGGAGGAGCGCGGCTGTCCAGCCCAGAGCCCAACGGGCTGATGTGTGTCTGCTCCATCCACCCAGGAGTTCAAGGTTGAGCTGGAGAAGTCGGGATACTACACACTCTACCATTCACTCCACCACTATAAATACCACACCTTCCTGCGCTGTCGGGACCAGGTGAGCCCCACTCATGGTACCCATTGCCCTGAATTCCAGTCTTCAGAGCCCAGCCCCTCCTCCCTCAGACGCAAGAGTTCAGACCGCCATCCCCTCCTCCCTTAGACCCGGGAGTCCAGGTCCCCAGCCCCTCCTCCCCCAGACCCAGGAGATCAGGCCCCCACTTCCTTCTTGTCTTCCAGCCCACTTCTCCTTTTCCCTGGGATGCTGATACCCAGGTCCCAGTCCCCTCCCACCCCAGAGGCCAGTGTCCCACCCTCCTAGCTCTGTGTGTAACCTCTGCAGACCCTGGCCATCGAGGGCGGCGCTGAGGACCTGGGCCAGGAGGAGGTGGTCCAACAGTGTATGCGGAACCAGCCGTGGCTGGAACAGCTCTTTGACTCCTTCAGTGACCTGCTGGCCCAAGCACAGGCCCACAGCCGCTGCGGGTGACCCTGCCCCAGCCTAGGAGGGCACCTCTTCCACAAACCGAGAATTGGGACAGAACTGTGTCCTCAGGAGCTAACCCCTGGGCTCCGTTGCCGGGGAAACGGGGGGTCATGGGTCAGGGTATGTCCATGCTGCCCCCCAGGGCAGGGTTCAAAGTCCGACTCCCCCCCCCCAGCCCTCTCCACCCCCCCAT